ATGAGCTGAAAATTTTGAGTGATGCTTTCCGTTTGTTTTCGACGACATTAGTTTTTTTTTTCACTTTCAGCAAGTAGAGCTTATGGTGTTTCAACAGGGAAGTTCTGTACGTTAAGGATATAAGTCGATAAGCACACGCTTTATAAGATAGGTAATAAAGTCGTTAGGGTGTTAAAGTCAGAATAATCTGCATTAATGTGTTTATCTTAGCTCTGACGTCTAAAACGTTGAATTTCTTTTTCACAGTTCTTTGCCATCTCATCATATCAAAACAGATACTTTTTTATCATCATAACGATAAAATACCAACATCTACAGATCTTAAACAAACCTGATGCTTTCTTCCGTTTTAACAAACATTTACATCAAGGCATGCTTGATATTGTTATTGATATCATCTCTGGTGAATCTTCAGCAGAATGTTCTCGTTACAAATTGTGAAAGGTTTCTTATGGTGAATAAAAGGGGTTAAAGTGTATAATGACTGAGTTCGTGTTTTCTTTTTGATTTAGACTCGTCACTTTAAACTGTATAAACCATGTAGTTGATACGTTCCATATAAAAGTTGCAATGGCCCATGCACCACACGCTTCGGTCGATGCCCCTTGTTTAAAGAATCTGCAGATCATTTGCAAAACATGTGGCATCAACAGTAAATATAAACACAAAAACCCATTACAGAAGATACCGTATAAAAGACTTCATAAGGAAAGTACGAAGTCATTATGACATGTATTAACAACCGTGGCAAGTTATTTCCACACCATGCTGCCATGACTCCGGCATACTTCAAGAACGAGATGTCAAACTGCACATGATAGCAACAACGCACCCCTACCATCTATTCAGAATTAAATCATATATAACATAGTATAAGCCGATAGATATATAGGTCTAATCTATAGAATATGGGTCAAATCTGTTACTTCCACACCGATAGCGCCCCTCCCCCCAGGCTGCCTCAGCCCTCCGGCTACTTGAAGAGCCCAAACTATGACTAATAAACTGGTTGACGTACCAACCACTAAGTATCTGATACCAGCCCAGAAAAGAACAAGAAATAGTCATGCCTTCAAATATCATAATCTTTAACCAAGAATTGAGGTGTTCAAAAACTTGTATTTCTTTGGTTGAGTGGAAATCGTTGTCACCAAGCACAGTTGGGGCATCATCACTAGAAAGCTTTAAGCAATTAAATGTGCAACGATCGAGTGTAACAAGCTGTTCGGTGTGATATAGCTAGCTGCCGCCGCGCCGCGTGCCTGCGAAGCTGGTGTGTTACGCCGAAGGGTGGTTATACCGGCTATACAGATACAGAAGCTGGTGTGTTACGCCGAAGGGTGGTTATATCGGCTATACAGATACAAAATAAAATACTCCTGTACAAACCCGAGTCCGCCAACCCACCCCCCACGCTGCCTTAGCCCACGGGCTAATTTAACAGCCAGGCCCTCTGTACAGACACACACACCCCTCGCTGCCTTAGCCCTCGGGCTAGTTGAATAGCCCAAAACCTGCTGTACTGCCCCGAGTCTGTTCAGTCTGGCGGCCCGGCCTGTGGAGTCCACACTGTCTGGTGAGTACGGCCCGTTGTGTTACTAAGTTGCTGCCCGGGACCCTGTAGGCATTAGTCGACGCACCTACTCAGACGTTTTACAGACGTGAAATGTTTTTAATGTTTTTAAAACTTTTGGAGTATTTTTTTTACTGTCGAGGTGATTTTGCATGTGCATTGCATGTTTTGTATCCGGAGTCGGAGCCGGACTTCATCTATGCCCGGGCACGGTTCTGGATAGTCCACGCTTATCCAGAACCGTGCCGGGCACGTGTCTACGTTCTGGGAGACTATCCAGGACCGTACATAAGCATAGTTCTGGAAGCTGCACGGCTCTGGATAGTCTGTGCCTGTTCCTAACTCTAGACAACTCGAGTAGAACTGGATAAGAAAAAGCCTGAAGACGCGAGAAACATCAGCACAGGCACATTGATGTAGTAGTGCCAACATGACAATGTTCTGGGTCTGACAGAAAGAAAGGCGTTTTGCATTGGTGTGGATTTCTCAACAACTTTGGACATACAAGTGGTGTTTAAAAGATACAACTATAGTATATATTTCAAATGACACTATGATAACGCTTGAACATTAGGATTTATTGGGGCGAAACTAACATTTGCTATCGGGCATAAGTTAGTCTTTAGGACCTCCTAGGCCGGGCATAATGATGTAATTGACAGAAAATGGGCGTTGTTGCAGACGGTAGTCAATGCACAGGATGGAAAGATTACTCGCACATGAAGCAGAACACAATATCTGATTTCTTGTCAGGATTCATTTCGTCATGTTCACGTCTGTTTTGATATGCATGGATGTTTAAACAACAGCTTTAAGAATATAAGATACGCTTGGCTCTATGTTGCCGTAGGAAGCAAACGGTCGTTATAGGAAACAGTATAGTAGCGTCTATGTTACACAAAGGGAACTGTCTGTATCTGTATCTGTATCTGTATAGCCGGTATAACCGCCTTTCGGCGTAACACACCAGCTTCGCAGGCACGCGGCGCGGCGGCAGCTGGCTATATTACACCGATCGACTTGTTACACCTAACCCTTGAACTTCTAGCTCTAGACATTGTTTAAAGCTATCTATTGACAGTGCCCCTACTGTACTTGGTGACAGTGAGTTCCACTCTGCGATAGTTCTAGGAAAGAATGAATTCTTGAACACCTCAATCCTTGGTTGATAACTCTGGTACTTGAATGCGTGGCTATTTCTTGTTCTCTTCTGGGCTGGTATTAGGTACTTAGTAGTTGGGACATCCACCAGTTTATTAGTCATTTTGTACATCATGCATAGTCTAGACATCTTTCTTCTGTCTTCAAGTGAGGTCCACTGTAGGTTTCTTTTCATTTCCGTGACACTAGCACCTCTTACATAGTTGTTCATACAGAATCTTGCAGCTTGATTCTGTACCCTTTCCAATTTGTCTTTGTCTTTCTTTGTATATGGATCCCATACTGTCGCAGCGTATTCTAGGTTCGGTCTTACAAGTGACGTGTATGCAAGTGATTTTACTCTCGTTGGACATGCCCACAGATTACGTTTAATCACTCCCAATGTCTGTTTCGCCTTAGTTGTGATATTATTAACATGTGCACCCCACTTCAGTCCGCTTGTCAGCGTGACGCCCAGATACGGATGGATCTTGTGGTTGCTAAAGCCTGACCACAAAACTGGTAGCTAGTTGCATGTGGTGTTCGTTTGTTTGTTATGTGCATAATGTAGCATTTTTCGGGATTAAACTGCATGAGCCATTTGCTTTGCCATTCTTCCAGGGTGTTCAGGTCTTTTTGGAGAAGTTGTGAGTCGGTCTGTGTAGAAAGCTCTACATACAATAGACAGTCATCGGCAAATAACCTCACATTTGAGTCAAGCTGATCTGGTAGGTCATTTATATACAAGAGAAAGAGCAATGGCCCCAGGACGGTTCCTTGAGGGATCCCAGACGCTACTTTAACTGGAGCCGACGCCTTCTCTTCAACCACTACTGTTTGCTCCCTGTTGGTCAGGAAAGCCTTTAACCAATTCAGCGTAGGGCCTTGGATTCCATAATACTCCAGTTTTGAGATGAGCCTGCCATGGGGGACTTTATCAAAGGCTTTAGTGAAATCAAGTATTGCTAAATCTACCTGCCGTTTACTGTTTAGTGCGCCAGCTATGTCATGGACTGTTAGTATAAGCTGTGTTTCTGTGGATCGTTTGGCTCTGAATCCATGCTGGTAATCCGTTAATATACTGTAACTTTCTAGGTGCTTCATGATTTGGCTATGGATGATATGTTCAAGTAGTTTGCAGGATATGCAGGTCAGTGAAACAGGTCTGTAGTTGCTGGGGACCGCTCTATCTCCTTTTTTAAAGATGGCGCATATATTTGCATCCCTCCAATCTTTAGGGATTTCTGCAGTGTTTAGCGAGTGTTGGAAAATATTGGTTAGAACAGGCGCGATTTCACTAGCTGTCAACTTGAGGAACCACGGTGGTATTTGGTCTGGTCCGGATGCTTTAGAGGGATTGAGACCTTGAAGCATTTTTTCGACACCATCAGTAGAAACTACTATATGTTCCATTGGAGGAGTACAGGGCTGACCTAGAGATGGCATATCTGTGGTGTCTTCCTCTGTGAAAACACTTTTGAACTGTGAACTGAGTACTTCTGCTTTTTTCCCGCTGTCACTGATGATGGTATTTCCCACCTTTAGGGGTGCTACCCCGACAAGGTCTTTCCTCAGTCCTTTTATATACGACCAGAATGTTTTGGGTTTGTCAACTATAGCTTCTCCCAGTATGTCTGCCACGTATTTAGAGTGTGCTTGTCTTATGCTTTTCTGAACTCCCTTCTTAACTCTCTTATATTTGTTCCAGTCTTCCTCTTGGCCTGTTTTCTTAGCTTTGTTATAGAGCCGCTGCTTCTTACGACAGTGCCTCCTTAGGTTTCTGTTGAACCAAGGCAAGTTGTATCTGCTTGATGTTATCTTACTTGGGATGTGCTTGTTCATCGTGTCTTTCATTTTGTCTTTGAAGTCTGACCACTTCTGTGTAACTGACATATCCTGAGTTCTTTTGTGAAAGTTAGTTGCATAATCCGTTAGGTCTTTCTTAATGGCTGGTTCGTCAGCTTTTGTGCGGATGTACACTTTTCTCTTAGGTTTCCTGTTTTGTTTCAGTGCCAGGTTAACGTCCACTAGAACCATGTCGTGGTCACTTATCCCCGGGACTACTGTGGTCTTATCAATTATGTTGGGGTTATTAACTAAGACCAGGTCCAAGAGAACTATATCTAAAGTAACACTGACGGCCCATAGAGGCAAAAGAAAACTTGCTATCGGGCAAGTCACAGGATATCTTTTCTCCTCTTTTTGACCCATTCAGTCAGGCACGGTGATTAGACTGTCAGAAAAGGGGGCGTTGTCGTCAGACGGCAGAAGAAATGGTCTGCCGCTACAGTAAAGAGACGAGTCATGGACAAATAACCATCCTCAACCCAAAAAGAAGTCAGGATGTTATTGTCGAGTTTGTTTTGATTTCTGTACAGACGGTTGTAGATTTGCCAGATGCAAAAAGAGAGCAAATATGATATATGGTTTGATACCCTGACGGCAAATCTCAGCAAAAAGTTAAAAGTTTCAAAAGTTACAAAAGGTTTCTCTATTTGACTTCTTCGGTCGTTCATCATGATCCGATTGACAGAAAAGGGGGCGTTGTTCCAGACGCCAGCATCACAGCAGGACAGTAGGACACAACAAGATACAACAGAGAAAAATTAACGCTTGCTTTACGGCACAAGTCACGCGATATCTTATCTTTTCTTTTGTTTTCTTGACCTGTCTAGTCGGACACCATGATTCAACTGACGGGCAGAAAAATGATAGCCGCAATTTGGAGGCCAATGCCCTCATATCCTTGTCATCTTGTTCTGATTCCATGATTTGATTGACAGAATAAGGGGCGTTGTTGCAAACGGGAGCAAAAAGGGAGAAGTAAACAAGAGAGCAATTATGTTACACATGTTACACAAGTTTTGACCTGTATCTAACTGATAAACCCAAGTGGATTTCTACCAGAATTGATAGTAATAATTGACCAAGATTGAATACTGGACGTTGAAACAAATTTGAAAGAGACGCCGCCACCACACATGAACAATAAGCCACAGTAAAAAGTGAAAGGTGAAAACTCGCTATCGGGCAAAACTTCCAACTTCTCTTTTCTCCTCTTTTTGACGTCTTCGGTCGTTCATCATGATCCAATTATATTGTCAGAAAGGGGGACGTTGTTTCGGACGCCGCCTTCACACCTGAACAAAACGCCACTGCAAGTAGTGAAAGGTGAAAACTCGCTATCGGGCAAAAATCACGCCTTCTCTTCCCTTATCTATTTGACTTCTTCGGTCGCTCATCATGATACAATTGACAGAAAAGGGGGCGTTGCTCCAGGCCCCACCATCACACCAGGACAGTAGGACACAACAAGATAGAATAGAGAAAAATTAACTCTTGCTTTCGAGCTCAAGTCACGCGATATCTCTTTTCTTTTCTTTTGTTTTCTTGAACTGTCTAGTCGGACGCCATGATTCAACTGACGGAAAAATGGGCGTTGTTACAAACGATAAAAGAGAGAGCGCAATTTTAGCGTCTTGCCACGGCTAGACAAAGAGAGTAATTATATCTGACTTCATACCCACTAATAGTTTATCGCTTTCGACTACAAACAAAAAAAGTTTCAAAAGCTACAAAAGTTTTGCCCTGTCTTTGAAAAATTAACCTAGCTGGATTTGAAACAGGATTCAAATGATTCACCAAGATGGAATTCTGCACGTTGAAACATATAAATTTGAAGTAGGAGGCGCCAAGAAGCCGCTGGCAAAAAGCAAAAGGTTAAAACTTGCCATCGGGCAAGTCACAAGATCTCTTTCCTTTTGTTTTCCTGACCTGTCTAGTCGGACACCATGATTCAATTGACAGAAAAGGGGGCGTTGCTACAAACGATAAAAAAGAGGGCGCAAACTTAGGGCCATTGACCCCCAGTCCTTGGCTTCTTTGGTCGGACAACTCAACCTGGTTGACAGAAAAAGGGGTGTTGTTGCGGACGTGAGCAAAAAAAGACAAAAAAGTGCCCAATTAAATTCCCAATGACCTCCAGTCCTTGGCATTTTGTTTTGACAATACCAGATGATTGAGAAGGGGACGGTTACCGACATCGCACAAAGGGCTAGCTCACAACTAAAGACGTTGACATGACAAAACATTACTAGAAGAACCATTTTCATGGTCTAAAATTCATTTGATTTATCTTCTTGACATCTTACGTCTTGATGATGGTTCTGAAGATAAATATTTCATTCCACATGGATATACATTAACACCAAAAAGCAGTTACTCAAGCAACTGGATATGATTTTGGAAACGGTCAGACGTTTCAGTTAGTATCCACTAGCTTTCGTCAGTGGCTTAGAGACTTGTCTTCACTCTATTTGCATATCAATCAATAGTTTGTTCTTATAAGCCTATTTTCATTTGGTCTCTCAGTCAGCTAGTGGTTACTAGCTGAAACGTCTGACCGTTTCCAAAATCATATCCAGTTGCTTGAGTAACTGCTTTTTGGTGTATCATATTACCTGGATATCTAACCTTCATCGACGTATATACATTGACATATAACATAAAGAAAGGAGTAAGGAGAAATGACAGCACGCACAGGGCCCTGAGGAGATACACCTGCAACAAGTGGGCCAAGGAGAAACCGATTTATGAAAGTTTGATGCGATGAAAAGACGTGAGAAACAAAAGGGGACCCGGTCACATGAGAACAATCAATCATGAGGAAGTTTCCAAAGGTGTAAAACCTGCCTGCGGGGCAGCATTAATTCCGCTGAACCTACAGATAAAAAAAAGTCGCCGCTGATATGGAGCCTGTAGGTACATGTAGCAGAGCAATAATGCCTAGAAGTATACAAAAATGAAAAGCGTAGACAATTCAGAATCTAGAGCAGGGTGCACGAGGAAAGTGCGAAATTGAATGTGTTTGAGCTCACAGTGCAATGTAATTCTACTTAGCCTACAGATTAAAAAAGTATCCGCCGATATGGCGACTGTATAGGTACCAGAGCTATTATGGCTAGAAGTATTTCGCCTATGGGAGTTTACATGATTAAAAAAAAGTGAAAACCTTAGACGATTCGAAATCTACAGCAGAGTGCACGAGAAAAGTGCGAAATTGAATGTGTTTGAGCTCATGGTACAAGCTATAAAGTTTGCCAGCTCGTTCGGTTTTGGCGCCTGCTTTAACATGACGCTAAGCGGAGGTCATGGGATCTGCAGTCAATGCACAGCAGCAGGCGGGATTCACACCATTCACTGTCACAACTTTTGTAATACCTCCGACCGAACAATTATCGCAAACAAAGTCATCGTCTCAAAACTGACGCATTTCTCTACCGTTCCTCCCAGCTTGCACCGCGCCGACGTGCAGAGAAGAATCTTTCCGGCCATTGACCTACCTGGGAGAGGCCCAGACATGCCCACCATGGGGATGGCACCGCTGCTCCTCCTGGCGACTCTCATCTGCACTGCAGCTGCAGACACGGCTGATGACACCATCGAAGCGGTTAGTGACGTTTGATCCAGTCCTTTAAACCAACAACGCAGCTTTAATGCCAAATGATTTAGAGACATTGAAACAAAAAGTACCTAATCCTCTGGCTTGGACGAAACACACTGTCAGACTGTTGAAAGAGGCATCAATGACTTAACATGTAGATTTGATAAGTTAATATTAGAAAGTTAAAGTACACTAGAGATCTATGTAAGGATTACATTACAATGAGTAAATAACAACATAACAAAGATATATTTTGCTGCTGAATGATGATGGAACTTAGTCTTATACTCAATAGTCTTGATTTTGTCGATTTCCGAAAGGCATTTGATTCTATTGATAGAGTCTTATACTTAGTCTAATACTTGTGCTCCATGGCAGGTGTCCCCGGGACCTGCACTGGCAGACGCTGACGATTTGGAGGAGAGGCTGACTGAGATAGTAGGTGTCGTTTGACTATCTTATATCCACGTCAATTACCACCATGTGTACGAATCACTCTCTATATGACGAAACGCCTTTATTGTACATTCATGCCACGACGGGCTAGGTAGAGGTCAAGACTTAACAGACACATAACAAACGTACGTAGAAAAGTGGAGACAAAAAGACACACTACTTGACTTAGACATACCTTTTTATGTTATAAAATGAGCGTCAACTGAGTGCAACGCAACATTGTCTTTTGCCTACTGTAGATCTAAAAGAAATGACATTCGCTTTATTCGAAATACAATTTCAATATTTTATCTCCAGTATGTATAATTATTACGTCTTCCACATCACATGCGAAGCTATCTGATATCTGAAGTACGAGACTACGCTAAATTCAGTTACCCTTTTGTCATTCCAGATGGAAGATATTGAAGAGCTTGAAGACATATCGGACCTACATCTGCATGGACTCCGCTCCAACGCACAACGAAGTAAAACCTCTGCATTTCTCTTTCTCTCCCTCTCTCTCTTCCTCTCTCTCCTCTCCCTCTCTCTTCTCTCCTTCTCCCTCCCCTCTCCCCTCCCTCTCTCCCTCTCTCTCCTCTCACCCTCTCTCTCCCCCCTCTATCTCTACCCCTCTCTCCCCCTCTCCCTCCCTCTGTCTTCTACTCTCCTCTCTCTCTCAATGATCACAATTACAATTTTCAATCAATGAACATGGCTAAATTCACAGCTGTGTTCCCATTGGTTCGCAGGGCGAGGTAACACGGTGTACCACGTGTTCGCGCAGGCGCAGACGAACGCGCAGGCGCAGGAGACGTGCCGCTCCATCAGAGGGAACCTGGCGGACATCAAGACCATGGACCTGCAGAAGTTCATAGAGGGGCTGATCCGCAGTGTGGACCCCAGCAAGGACTACTGGATGGGACTCAACGACAAGAAGGTACACACACACACGCACGGACACACACACACACACACACACACACACACACACACACACACACACACACACACACACACACACACGCTCACACACACACACACTCAAACACTTACATACTTACACACATACACACTCAGAACTTGTGGATCCGGACATGACAAGGTCTTGATTAGTAAGACCGTAAGACTACAGTAACTGTACTTTCTATGCGTGCAGGTTGAGCGCTTGTGGACGTGTGAATCCTTGATGTTTGATTTCCCTACTAGTAAGACTGATGTATTTTTGTGGGGGATGCAGGTTGAGCGTGTGTGGACGTGGTCTGACGGGACGCCCATCAGCGGGTGCGACTTCTCGTACTGGGCGCCGGGGGAGCCAAACGACGGGGGCGGGAACCAGGACTGCGGCCAGCTGTGGAGCAACGTGGGCTTCAAGTGGGACGACGATTCGTGCGACCGTCGCAAGTACTTCATCTGCCAAGTCGGTCAGTTAATGCCATTACACCCTGTGCTTTATTATAAATGGTTTGATGTTTTTGTGGCTCGCCATATGATCTTGATACCATACCTTTTTAAAGCAGGTTGTGAAAGAAACAATCCTTAACAACCGTTTCGGTAACATGACAAGTTTTACCCGAATTTTACACCTATCCCCAAAACGCATTCACGATTACAGTTTGTGTAACTAACTGAGCCTTACGTAACTTAGCATGGAAATGGACAAGTCATGGGAGAAAACATGACTTTACCATGTTTGGAACTGCATGTAAAAGTCCAATATTTCATACTCCGATGCAACTTGATGCGAACAATGGGCATCATATCAATTCATCCATAGTAATAGTGTGAAATGTATTTCCAGGTCCCGGAGAGGAGAACGCCTGTATTGCTGAAGGTAAGAACGTCTAAACAGGTAAACCTACCTTTAATCATTACCTATGCCAGGTATCTATGCTTACATGGCGAAAAAAACAGGAATGTAAACTTGATAATTAGACAAACATTTGTGTGCGCAGTTCTAGGCATGAATATGTGAATATGAAAAAAAGATTCATTGTCATGAAAGTCCATCTGTGTTGGTAGTTACATGTTTAAAGGTAAAACTTTTGGTCCAGCACAAACAGTTCTCTCACCTAGAGCTTTCGACCAGTCACTCTGGTCTTCCTCAGTAGGCTCAGGGCCCACCACCATTTACTCAACCGCGACGGGGGCCGACATCGTCCACCAGATACATTTGACCCAGTGTTCATCTCACACTTGAAAGAAGCCACGTGACAAGACTCACTGGGTCAGTCTACTGAGGAAAATCTGAGTGACTGGTGGAAAGCTCTGACAGAACTTCTTTTGTGTTGCAACAAAAGTTTTGACTTTAAACACGATTCATTGTCATTCACGCGTGTCTTTATTCCCAGGTTCCTGCCTGGACCTGCAGCTGCCTGCGGGCGCGGTGACGGGCGTGGGTTACACCGCCCCGGGCTACGGACCGGCGAACGTGCTGGTCGCCGGGAGCGCCATCTGGAACCCGCAGAAACTGCCCAGGTACGGTTACGTTACATTACCCTAACCCTAATGAGTACCTAGCCTCGGTTGGGGACGTCCATCGGATAGGACGTTAAATGGAGGTCCCGTGTTTGGTGAGAGCCACACGCACGATAAAGAACCCACCACACCTTTCAAAAAAGAGTAGGGGCATGCCCCGGTGTGCGATGGTACAACAACTAATACTGTCTGGAAGTTGGCCCGGTGATTCACTACAAATCACCCGGATGGAGGCCTGGTGAACCCCATCTCGTACTAGCCACAAAAGGCAGCAGAATCTTCATCTTGATGAAGGCGGTTACCTCAAATGAAAGAAAAAAAAATAAGTGGGGTGCTAACGTCTAAATCTTACCTCGTGTAACACAGGAACTACAACAACTGGCGCATCGACTTCGACATGCAGAAAGCATACACCTTCTCCGCAGTCAAGATCCGCAACTACGGGGACACCACGCACGACGTCACGGCCTTCAAGCTGGAGACGTCCGACGACAAGTCCACCTGGACACAGGTGTTCTCCACCGGCAGCGTGCGCGCAGGTGAAAGTTTATTCCAATTACATCCATCCACCCATCCATCCATTATTCCATCCATCCGTCCATCCATCCATCCATCCATCCATCTATCCTTCCATCCTTCCGTCCATCCATCCATCCATCCATCCTTCCATCCATCCATCCATCCATCCTTCCATCCATCCATTCTTTCATCCATCCATCCATCCATCCATCCATCCATCTATCCATTCAGGCATCCATCCATCCATCCATTCATTCATTCATTCATTCATTCATCCATCCATCCATCCATCCATTCTTTCATCCATCCTTCTATCCATCCATCCATCTATCCATCCATCCATCCATCCATCTATCCATCCATCCATCCATCCATCCTGCAAATACATGCCCGAGGGTTTATTGCAAACACAGACAACATGCATGACAAAGACGATACAATGATATGGTACTACGTGAAAGTTCATCTGACTGTGTTGGTAGTTACATGTTTAAAGTTGAAACTTTCGATCCAACCCAAACACATTCTCTCACCTAGAGCTTTTAACCAGTCACTGTGGTCTTTAGCTGAGTCAGTAGACGTGGCAAGTCTCACTGGGTCAGTCTACTGAGGAAGACCAGAGTGACAGGTCGAAAGCTCTAGGTGAGAGAATTTTTGTGTTGGATCAAAAGTTTTTACTTTAAACACAAACATTCTTCAACATACGTGGTACTAATTTTGTTGGGTTTGACCTCTCAGGTGTGAAGACGCCTCAGCCTTTCATGGGGTTCTACGGGAGCGGCCGTTTTTGGCGCTTCACGGTCACCCGGACCGCGCAGGGATGGCAACCATGGCTCGTCGGAGTCCAGTTCTGCGGCATCGAAGGTAAGGACGAAAAGCTGCTGTCACGTATATATAAGAGCCAACCTTTAGACAATTACCTTGTGTTATTATGAGGACGGCCCGGAGGAGCTGAGAGCATTGCCTCGTCGGAATCCAATCCATTCTTTACCCTTTGAGGAAAGTTCAATGTTGTCTCTTCTCTTTGAATAGGGAAGCCGAAGTACGAGGCCGTGAGCGTGCCGACCGCCGGGATCAGCGGGGTGGGAAACACGCCGACCAACGGGCCTGAGAACGCCGTGGACGGCAAACGGGGGACGTTCTGGAACCCGCAGGGTCTCCAAAGGTATATTTTTTATTCCGTTTTGGTCTGTTAGCCCCCGTCAGGGGCAAGACACACCTCCGGGGTCCCACACTCGGCGGCAGGCCCTCTGGTAGCCTCTACGAGGCTTCGGGAGGCGGCTGGTATGAGTAGAAATCGGCCAGAGAGATAACATTCCAGGGGATTTTGTTTGCCGCTCTCCGAAGTAAGCTATTCGGAGAGCGGCAAACTGTTCTCCCCAGCAGCCAAAATCCCCTGGCATGTTATCTCTCTATTTGGCCGATTTCTACTCTTTCCAGCCCAGCCGCCTCCCAAAGCCTGGTAGAGGTTAGCCCTCTGGTGCCTCGCCATATTGGAGTATGACATCTCTCGGTCTCGGCCACACGACGGGCACACCCCATCCTCCCCATTGCCGGTTCTCTTTCGCTACTCTCCGGATCCGCACAAGCTCTTCTTAACATCTACTAGCCTCTACCAGGCTTCGGGAGGCGGGAGCGGCAAACTCTTCTCTCCAGCAGACCAACTCCCTTGACATTCTATCTCTCAATTTGAAAGATAGAATTCTACTATTTCCAGCGGCCTCCCGAAGCCTAGTAGAGGCCCCCGCACCCACGTACATGTCTGGCATAATTCCTTCTATAAGTCCAGACCCCACACATACACCGCATTGTCTTCTGTTATCATGCACCTCCCCCCCCCCCTCTCCACAGGAACTACAACAACTGGTGGATCATCTTCGACTTCCAGAAGGTCTTCACCCTGGCCGCGATCCAGATCACCAACTACGGGGACACCACGCACGACGTCACGGCCTTCAAGCTGGAGGCGTCTGACGACAAGGTGACTTGGAAGCCGGTGTACTCCACCACGGGCGTCAGGCCAGGGACGAACCAACCGCAGCTGTTCGGTGGCTTCTCCGGAACGGGCCGCTACTGGCGCTTCACGGCCACCAGGACCCCGCAAGGCTGGCAGCCGTGGCTGGTGGAGCTCCAGTTCTACACCATCCCGGGTACGTGCTGTTGTGTTGTGTTGGGTTTGTTTTACCAGTAATTACAGCCCAGGCCATTTTGTGTATATATGTTAACATTGTACATTTGGGAACGCATCTGTAGCAGCGACACCTGATCTGCAGTGCAATGTGAACCAGTCAGAATTGCCCTGGTGAAGGTGACAGACGGTCCTCGAAACCACTAAAAGACTTGGTTGTGTAAAAAAAAAGTTTCATTACTCCATGTTCTACTCCACACAGTGGTGGAAGGGCCGGTGCAGGAAGACGCCACCAACACCCACTTCCTGGTGGTGGGGATGGCCCTGACGGCGGAGGAGGCCCGGGCGTACTGCAAGCGTCGGGGGGGACTCCTGGCGGATATCAAGAGCACCATGGTCCACGACTACGTCGTGCAGACCATCCGCAAGTACAGCAACCCGAACGAGAACTTCTGGATCGGACTTCAGGACACCACGGTAAGAGGATACAGAGTGACGAAAAATTAGTCTCCACCCCTTTGCAGGCTGTATAAATATAAATTTAATGTTCTTGCCTGCACAGAGCACGCAAGCTGGACCCTCTATGGCCGGCCAACTCCCCCCTTAGCTGATTTCTACTATT